CAGAAACTGATTTTGTATATTTAGATTACAGGTTTGTGGAAATTCAAGAACAGATCATTAGGCAGGAACTCTTTTAATTAACTTTTACAGGTAAATCTTTTTTATTTCCACAAGTAGATGTTCTCTGACATTTGATTTTCAACATTTGGACTATGCTGCTTTAGAATTAAATTTTTTCTTAAAAATATATAAGTCATTTTACAAATGTCATCTAAGAAGAGAAGTATTATCATTATGAATCTATTTAACTGTAGGAGACATCAGGTAAAATTTAATTACAATAACAAAAAAAATGTAATACTGATTAACCAGAGATATCTGATAGAATTTTTTTTTCATTTGTGGATAAGGGCAAATTTAGGTAGCTGCGGAAGAAGAGGTCAAAGGCCTGAAAAAAATAAAAACTTAGAAGACTAACCAATTATATTTTCTTCAGCTATGGGAAGTTCTGAATTTCTAAAATTTTGTGTATGCAGAAACATATATATGTTTTAAAATCAGAAAATGAAATATTTTGTGATATTCTGTTCATAGAACAAATGATAGGCAATTGATTAAAATGTCATTACAGTAGATACAGATTCTGAGACAAAGTCTGACAGTTTCATAATAGGAATTAGTTATGTAAGCATTCACATTCTGATCAAAACATATATAGCGCATGAACATTAGTAGTATGTTAGTTTTTTCTCTAAAACATATTGCCACGAGTCATCACTTTTCCCTTTACATTTTTTAAGCTTCACTGAGAAACTAATCTTGAATATACTTGAGCCTTAATGACTGTATTTCAAAATTGAGAGTATTTCTTAGGATAATTTCTCATTAATATGAGTGGTTATTATGAAAAAATAAAATTGCCTTAGCCTTTTAAAATTATGCTCTCTGTTTTCATATGTTAATTCTTGTTATCGGTAGTAGGCATGTTTTTCCCCTAAGTGATAAATAGTTGCTCTTTAGAATTCTTTTGCCATTTCACTTGTTAAAAGTGAATAATTCTTATAGCTTTGAAGCATTTCAGGATTCATCTCTTTTGGAATAGAAATAGAATTATTAGGTTATTGATAAGAATAATATCCATTTTATGGAAGTCAAATACTTTATATTAGTGCCAGAAAATATAAAAGTAAATTGAGTATTAATTTTTGTTCCAAGCATCCTAGTATAAAATATAGATATTTTAGATTGTAAACAATATTTAATGGAGACTTAAGAGTTTGACTTGACCTCTGAGTCTTTACCTTACATTGATGTATTTAGCTAGAAGTTGGTGAATGTGCAGAAATCACTGCCCTTATCCAGACAGAGCATTCCTCTTAAAAGCTGATGGAATGTGGCTAACTAGTTTTTTAACACACCAGACATTCTCAAATTTGACTCTATTGGAGTCCCTTGGAATATCTGATTTTTAGATCTCAATGAGTCATAAAAAAAAAAAAAGATACCATTTAAAAATACTGGTAGAAAATTATTATTATTTAAACGATTGATTTATTTATGCATACAGAACTGGGGTATAGGCCAGAGGTGCAGGGTCGGTGAAAGGATTCACCAGAGAAAGAGCGGGGAGCAGAACAGGAAGATCGATGAAGTACACTGCTGAGGGGAGCAGCAGATGAGAAAGGAGAGATCTGCTGCGCCATGTGGGTCACCTGTGAAGCTGGGGATCAATCTCTCACTGAAGCAGCTGTGCTAGCTTGCAGTGCTGTGTCCTAACTCATTGTACCACCAGGGAGGGTCCTAGAAAACTGTTACTACTCGGGATTCTTTAAAAGAAGAGATTACATTACAAAGACTTTTATTCTTTTTTTATTTTTAAACTTACTTAAATGTTGTATGCCTTCTTTCGATGAATGAATTAAAAATCAATGGTTTTAATATAGTTTGAAACTTTGAAAGCTGCCTTCTGTATCTCTCTATGGGGAAAGACTTTCTTATATGGTATTTTGAGGAAATGTAGTATGGGATGACCTATTTTATTATGATACAATATTAAGGGCAAGTAATTTTAATTACCACAATACTGTAAGTTGAGGGTTAGTGTGAATAGCATCCCAAGAGCAGGCAACTGGGTAAAGCGCACCTCCCAACCCCATTGTCTGCTCTTGCTAGGATAAGATGAGTGGGGTAAAGTGAGAAAGGTATGAGCAGAGAGTATGGATAGAAAGGGTTTGGCGATTTACAAAGGAAACTATACTGTAGTGGAGTAGGTTTCTCAAATGAAACGGTTAATAAAGCAAATCCTCCATTGCACTTAACACATTGAGTGAGTTTGAGGAAATTGTTTAGTTTCCCTGAAGCTCTTTACATTCACAAGGGAACCTGGTGTTGTCCATGAGAAATTGTTCTGCTAGCAGTTGATTTAGTCTAGTTGATTGTGTATCCTTCCATAATTTTCTGTAATGCAAGTGATACCCATAATAAGCCCCCCACTTGTCTTTCCAGTGCCATATTCACTATGGGGCTCCTTATCCCCTCCTAGGCAGCTTTGATGCTTGTACTAAAGCCTTTGGCCACTATCAAAGTAACCCTCATAAATGCATAAAGTATATATATAGAATTATAAAGAAAACCAATTACACAGAAACACTATTATCAGTATATTAGAAGTTGTAATGTATAATAATTTTCCATACTTATTAACACATTAAAAAAGATTTAGTGGTAAATTTAATAACTACTATTATTTTAAAGTAATGAGAAACATAAGCAATATTTCTAAATGTCTGTACCAATAGTGATTGCTATGAAAATAACTATAGCATACATTGGTACCATATACACAGGCACCACTGAACATGGGATTGTTTCTCTATATTCATGACTGAAGAAAATGCTGAATTTAGGTAGAGATTAATGAAAACAAAGACATGAATTTTTTCTATTCATGTTTTCATGACTTCCTAAATCATATCTGTACCCATGTTAAGAACCTCTGAAGGGACCCTCCCTGGTGGTGCAGCGGGTTAAAGCCCAGCACTAAGAAGCTAAAGCCACTTCAGAATGAGTTCGATCCTGGCCCCAGAGGTGACCCATGGCACGGCAAACCTCTCCTGGTCTGCCTGCTGCTCGAGCACCTCAGCAGTGTACTTCGTCAGTCGGCCTGTTCTGCACCCTACTCTGTCTCTGGTGAATTCTCTCACTGCCCCTGAACCTCTGGTCTGTACCCCAGTTCTGTATGCATAAATAAATAAATCTTAAAAAAAAAAAGAACCTCTGAACTAGTGACTAGTGGTTCACTGCTTCAGATATTATGAAAAATATCTTGGAAATTTTTTTCCCCCCACTCCAAAATGTTATTGACTTACCATGTATTATATGAAAATATGTGAGTTTGAGAGTGCTGCCACACCATCTGTGTCCCTCTCCCTCCCAATAGTCCCCTCCCCCTTCCCTCACCCACACTACAGTAAGTGGTTTTCAGAGTTTAAGAGCTCCTTTTGTTGGGTATTTCTTTTGTTGTTTATATTCCAAAAATGAAACAGTAAAAACTTTTTTTTTTTCTCAGACTTTCAATGAATCCTTTAGTTTAAAAACTTGGGAAAGTACTTCCCTGATTACTTAAAAATATTATATTTCTATTCATATTCATTGTAGCTTACATTTATATAGTTTTTCTTTAATATCCTTCAGTATAATTTTTATAATGACCCTTTCTTTGGGTAAAGATTTATTTATTTATGCATGTAAGAAATGAGGTACAGGCTATAAGTGTGGGTGGTAAGAGGATTCACTAGAGACAGTGTGGAGAACAGAACAGGCAAATTAACCTAAATACACTGCTGAGGGGAGCAGTGGGGTAGATAGGAATGGTCTGCTGTACCACGTGGGTTACCTTCCTGGCTGGTGGTCAAACTTGTACTTCAGTGGCTGTGGATAGCTTCATGATACTGTTCTTAACCCCTTTCATCACCAGGGAGGCCTCTACAGTGATATTTTTTATACATTACCTTTTATAAGATTTGTACTTGCTCTATAGGTTATGTTACTAATTGCTATTCTATTGAGTTTATTTTGTAATTATAGTATAGAATAGCTTTTGTATTTTGAATTATTAAGCTAGTCAGTTACTTTGTACCTATAGTATCATCTCAAAATGGTAACAATTGCTTCCCACCCCCAAGCTAACTTTATACTTTTTTAAACTTTTTCTTATGGATTGGTATGATATTCAGTGCAATCTTCAGTAGAAACAATGATGACTACCCTTCCTGATTTTAAAGATAAAATCACTGTCCACTGAGGGACAGTGTTAGCACCAATTTTTAGGAGGTAGTAGAGCCAATCACTAACTGTCATGACTCTTACAAGTCAGTTCCTAAGAGACAGCCACCATTAACACTAAATAACAGGCCCACCCTGGGTGGCACAGCGGGTTAAAGCACAGCACTAAGAGCTAAAGCCACTTTAGCATGAGATCGATCCCCTCCAGGGAGGTGACCCACATGGCGTGACAAATCCCTCTTCTGTCCCGCCAGCTGCTCCCCTCAGCAATGTACTTATTCAGTTGGCCTGCTCTGACTCCCTTCTCTGTCGCTGGTGAATCCTTCCACCACCCCTGCCCTGCACCACTGGCCTGCCATAAATAAATAAATAAATCTATAAAAAAGTAAATAACATAAAATTGCAACTCATAAATCACTTTAAAATGAAAAGTAATACATTTTCCAAACTCAACACTTAGTACTGTATTTTGAGGCTATTTGTATTTTCAGGATGGAAGTATTATATATAATGGACATTATGCCAACTCTGGTTAGTGATATGTTCTTGACAGCGATACACTGCCTGCAGTTGGAGTATTTCTACTTTGGAAAATGGTAAATGCTACCGATCAAGGATTTTTAGTTTTCTTAAGCAAATGTTCTTAAACAATACAAGGTTTTGATGTTTGCTACAGATTCGAGATTTTTCCTTGCCTATTAGCTAAAAAGAAAGGCAGAGTGGGAGGAACAAGGAAAAAAATACTTTTAATCAATGTGTTCATTTGTTTCCCACAGATACATGTGATGCTCCGTTGGCATCTGCCCTGCCCCGGGAGTCATTCAGCAGCTCCTCTGAGCTATCTCCTAGCCACGGCCCAGGATATGCAAGTCTTAATCGCAGGGACGGTGAGTCGGCTGTTGTCTTTTTGTTACTCCACCACGATTCAGTTCCAAAGAGAATTATTGCCATTTTTAGTATTCCTTCTTATAGCCCAAAAGTTATTACACTATTAAATGAAAGTGAGGACCGTAGGGTCATTATATGGTGATTCACTAGCTTTCTTTGTTCACTATAGAATTTTGGAGGGTTTTTTTTTTTTTTTGATACTTTCCTTCTCTACTGATTGTGCACAAATGGTCATAAATGAGATTTGAATTAGAATGGAATTATTTCTAAATTTATTTTGTACTATTATGGTACTATTGTTTTATATCACTGTATATTATTTCAGAGATAAAGGAACACATTTCCTAGATGTATAAACAGGAAACATTAACTACTACACTATTTCCAGTTTTAACATCCTTTTAATTTTAGAGCAGGCTATAGTAAACTGAGTGGTATTTGGCCATGAATAACTCAGAAAACAAGTAAACAAGCCACTCATAGCCAGTGAGGTAAAACTGTACAAATCATTGTATTGAATCGGTCGGATGTAAAGATGCCATAGAATATGATGGGAATATGACTTTATTTCAGCACTTGGCTTTGGAGACCAAGTGAAGGTTGGTGGTGAAAACAGATTCCCTTATCTAAGTTGGGAAGGGAGCAAGTGGCTTATGTTTTTGGGTATGTGCTAACTGATTCATACTACTTGGTTATCATTGAGTACATTGCTTCTTCAATTGCACAAATAGTAGTTTGATGGGTTAAGTAGCTTAGTTTATACACTTAAAATTCAAATGTTTCACTGACATTTTAAGGAATAGATTTTTTAAATACAAGATTAATTCAGAAATTAAACATTATAGCTAACATTTAGAGTTTTGTAGAGGTGGTCATCTTACCTTTATGTGTATGTGTGTGTGTGTGTGTGTGTGTATTTATTTGGCCAGAAGTGACAGAGTTTCCAGAATGTTTAGTTACAGTGAGAAATAGTTTAAATCCCATGGCTTCAACAGGAAATTTTACATGTAATCGCTGATCACTGCATCTCTGTGGTATATAAAGGAGGCAAAATATGTCCCACATAAAGGTTTTGCTGTAAATTCTGAAGGCATTACTATGGACTTAAGCACTTCTTTCTCTTTCTTTGGTGTTTTGAAGATAATAGTTTAAGAAAGTCATGAATCTAATGTGGGAACCCAGATTAAACAGATTGCTGAAGAAGAGTTGGAGCACATTCAGCACAGAGTAGCGGAGCATGTCCGTGTCCACACTCCATGGTCTTCCCATGAGAAGGCATTGAGTAGGAGGAGCTTACTCCTTGGTACACTAGTCAGAATTACTTTTACCATCCCAGACAAATATCGTCTGATTGAAGCCATATTTCAAGTAAAAATTAAATTATCAAACTAAACATTTTTGGTTTGGTGATTAATGTTAAGTGAATAGCTAAAATCTCCAGTGGTTGCCCAGAGATTATAAAAACTAAATGAATACTCTATTGAATTAGTTTAAAGAAACCCAAGGGCATTGTGTATTGTGTATCTGGTTTTCAGGAACAGGAAATGTGTTTCAGGCCTTTAGTGATGTCAGTGTCATGGCTTGGGGGAGTTTAAAGACATTATATGGAGAATACTAAGGTTAAAATTGACTTGGGCCTTCCTGGTGGTGCTGGGATTATATATCAACACTATCACCACTAGGTCTGAATTCGGTCCCCAGCCAGGGAGCTGACTCACATATGACACAGCAGACTTCCCCTGTCTCTATCCGCTGCTCCCCTCAACAGTGTATTTTAGCACATCTGCCCGTTCTGCTCCTCACTGACTCTCATGAATCTTCTCATGCCACCCTCCATACCCCTGGCCCATAACCCTGTCCTACAAACACACACACACACACACACACACACAATTTAAAAAAGGAAAACTGTTTAAAAAAATAAATTTGACTTATTTCCATTACAGTTAATTAAATAAACTAATAGCCTAAAATATGATAAGCAGTCATTATAAAATGGTACTAAAAACTGTTTTTCTATATATGGACTACTTTTGAAGAAAGTCGTAATCAGATGATGAGGTTTTTTTTTTTTTCTGATTGTATACAATGTGCACTTCACTAATCATCACTTAATATTATCTCTCTTGATGCCATTTCTAAGGCATGCCTTAGATAACACACTTTGTCAATATTTCTCTGAAGGATATTTTATATGTGTGTGTGTGTGTGTGTGTTTATAGATAGATAGATAGATATAGATTTTTTTTTTCTGTTAAAATTCAGCATCTTAGAGTATGGGCATTTACTTTGTCCTTACAAATGCTGGAGAACATACTAGTTAACTTTACTTTACATTATTATAATACAAATATGACAGTACAAAGTAAGGATTTTTGTAATGGTGACAGTGGTTCCTTCTGTCAGTTTCAGCTTTCTTGACAGTTCTCTGTATGATCTAATGATGAAAATCATGTGAGATTACCTGATTTTTATTGTAAAAAGTCCTTGTTCTGTGTATGGCATTTGGAGATTTTTAAAGAATGTGGTCAGTTTTACATTCTTAATTTTTTATTTTGTAATTAAACTTCAAGAACTTTTAGTTACAATTATAAACGCTTTAGCAACATCTATAAGAATTTTATATGTAATAGCTGATGAGTGCATCTACATGATGCATAAAGATGCTTAAAAAAAGGTGGTAAAAGAATAGCCAATCTGTAATTTTTAATTGCCTCTATATAAAAAAAATTGTGCCAGTGTACAATTCCTATAAAGACAAATACTTTAAAATAAAGTTGTTTAAAGTACTATATTGATTCAACACATAGAAAATATGAATCTATAAGAATTTATTGTGTATTTCCTAGTTTATATACTTTTACTTACACATTTTATTTGTAAATTTATTTGGTTTTCTATTAACTTTAACTAATGGGGTTATATCATTGCTCATCATGGTCCTGATTGCTCCTGAGTTGCCACTTTGAGATCTGAGGGTGGGTTCCAGATAACACACTTAATAAAATGCCCACGTTAATGTAATACAAAGTGACATTAGTGGTTAAAAAGTTAGCATCCCCAAATGCGTCAGTGTATCGCTTTTTTAGCTTTTAAGTTATATGACATGAAATCCATTTTTTTTCAGACACATGTATTTACTCATATTCCTGTTGAAGACAGCTGATGCCATTACATTGGAATGTAAAGGTCTTCGAAAACTGCGTTTGATTAATTGACTTGATGAAACTCTTGTTATCATACATATTATACTGATGTATCCTAAATTACAAGTTATTTAAAATTTTTCATACAGAGACAAGATTGCTGAAATCTATTATGAATAAGAACATATTGAAATAGTGATTTCATATATTTTTTTTCTCAAAAATCTAAAGAAATTGCACTGCAAGTTTATTCAGACAAAAGCTAAAAGCAAAAATAAAAGACTACTTATAGTAAGCCATGTTGTACTTATCACTTATGAAAATTTTAGTTTTTAATTATTATTATTACTGTAGGTGACTTTTCATTAGGCTGAATCAGCTATGTGAATGAGTTTTCCAACTTGCAATTCTATGTTTTGCTTGTCACATGTTTTGTAAATGCGATGGTGAGATAGTCTTGAGAGAAGCTATTTGAAATTGCTACAAGAAACGCACATACATCTTATACCTCTTTTTGTTCCCCAGAAATGTTTGTATAAGCACTCATCCCCAGAGAGAAGGGCTGTATTCATGAACTGATCTTTAAAATGATGAACCTGACAAGTCATCTAACCGGTGATAGTGCAAATAGGATCTCTTTAAATTTAGCTTTATTAAAAATGACTTTCCAGATTATTGTATTGAATCTTAAACTTTTATTGAGATGATATTGGTTTATGACCTTATATAGGCTTCAGATGTATAGCATTATTGTGATCTCAACCAAAAGTCTTGTTTTCATTTGGCAAAATCCTGTGTTGTTTATTGTAAAAGAAAGTAGATGGAGACAAGCTAAATGATGGTATTTTCTTTATTTTGTTATTTCACTGTATTCCCATATTGTAATATTGAGCTTCCTCAAAACATTGATGGCTTTATCTGTTGGAGGAGCCAGGAAGGATTTTATCTGATGCTTCCA